AGGTTTAGATAATCAAAGAAAAGGGCCACATGAGAAGGATGCTTGAAAAATAAAAAAGTATAATCGACATATCGGTTATAAAAAAACAGGTTTAAAATCAAGAGGACAATTGGCCAGTCATTTAGTCTCGTGAAAACACATAAAAATATTAGCAAAAGTAGGACCTAGTGGTAGACCCATGCCCAAGCCGTAAATTTGTCTATAAAATTTGCCGGCAAATACAAAACACGTGTTCGAAACAGATAATTCAAGAAGAGATTTAAAAAATTGGCGGAATCTTTAAGTTTTCTAAAAAAACTATTAATTTTATCCTCAATCTTCAAAATAGTTTTAGCAATTGGATCTGTAATTTCGATAAATTTAGAAGGGTCTGTAATGCGAGCAGAAAGGCTACTGTTGTAACGATTGCGGTCAACCAATACGACTCCCTTGCCCTTATCTGGCTTACAAATGATTAGGTCCTTATTTTTGGCCAAGTCCTTTAACAAAAGGACTTGGCCAACTTTTGGCTTTAACTTATACGGATAAAATTGATAATTTTTTTAGAAAACTTAAATATTCCGCTGCACTTTCTTCTGAAACTTATTTGAAACTTTATGCCTCTGGCTCCTGCCCAGGTATTTTGTATGGCTTGCCTAAGATTCATAAGCCAGATTTCGCTACAAAATTTCAGTTTCGACCCATTTTTGCTGCTTACAACACTCCCAGTTTCAAGCTTGCTAAATTCTTGGTCCCAGTGTTGAACTGTTTGACAACTAACCAATATACGGTAGACAATTCTTACGTGTTCGTAGGCCGCTTGATGAGTTTCACCAATGTCCAGGATCTGACTATGGCTTCATTTGATGTCGAAAATTTGTTTACAAATATACCTCTCCATGAAACTATTGATATTTGCCTCAATTCATCGTTCAAAGAGATTAATGACATTGTCATGGGTTTGAACCGCAAATTTTTTAAATCTCTTCTTGAATTATCTGTTTTGAACTCGTGTTTTGTATTTGCCGGCAAATTTTATAGACAAATTGACGGCTTGGGCATGGGTCTACCACTAGGTCCTACTTCTGCTAATATTTTTATGTGTTTTCACGAGACTAAATGGCTGGCCAATTGTCCTCTTGATTTTAAACCTGTTTTTTATAACCGATATGTCGATGATACTTTTTTACTTTTCAAGCATCCTTCTCATGTGGCCCTTTCTAAACCTCCAACATCAGTCAATAAAATTCACCATGGAGCTTGAAACCAACAATAGTTTATCTCTTCTTGATTGTAATGTTACAAAATCTAATGGCCGTTTCCAGACCTCTGTGTTCAGAAAGTCAACGTTTACCGGTTTAAGCACCAGCTTTTTTAGTTTTTGCTCATTTCGCTTTAAATTAAATGGGATTAAAACATTATTAAATCGTGGCTTCCGTACTTGTTCAACTTTCAATGCTATGCACACTGAATTTGAGTTTTTGCGCAGCATTTTTTCTTTAAATGGGTTTCCATCGCAACTGATTTATACTCAAATTAAGAAATTCATGTCAAGGCAATATAGTGAAGTTGTTCCCGATTGTGACAGTAGGAACCTGATTTATTGTTCTTTTCCCTACTTCGGTAAAGCATCTGAGACTATGGCTAGGGAATTGAAAGATTTTATCAATAAATATCTTCCGAATGTAAATCTGCAGGTGCTATTGGTGAATAACTTCAAAATCGGTTCGTTCTTCAAGTATAAAGATGATCTCCCTCTTTTTATGCGTTCGTCCCTAGTATATAGATACAGTTGTGCGCAGTGCGCATCAGCGTACGTCGGTATGACGTCTCGCAATTTTTACACTAGGCTGGCGGAGCATAAGGGCAGAAGCTTTAGAACGGGAACAATACTTGCGCATCCTCCTCATTCAGCTGTGCGCGTCCATACCGAGCAGTGCAATGTTCCGGTGTCTGATAGTGATTTCAGAGTTCTAGCTTACACGACCGGTGTTACTGACCTACGGATTTTAGAATCCCTGTACATTTTTAAACAGAAACCTGGTTTAAGTGCAGCCTTCAGCTCCTATCCCCTTGAAATTGTAAATAGATAGGCCTGTCTCCTTAAATGTATTTGTTTTTATTTTGTCAATTTATGTTTTTATCTTCGATGTGAATTTAGTTTTCCAATTGATTCTGATTTTCTTATAGGTTTTGAACTTTTGAACTGACGATGGAGCTGGACTCCGAAACGTTTTCATTCTTAAGAAATGGTTAATATTCTTGCTGTTTTCTTTGCTTTTAAATTCCTGGTAAACCTAAATCTAGTGCAGGTGCGCTGGCCTAAACCTAATGCAGGTGCGCTAACCTAAATCTAGAACAGGTTTGTTAATACAGATCTGGATTTAGTGCGAGAACCTATCTCTAGAGCGTATATGTATCTCTAGGGAGAGGTTATAGAGCAGGTGTGAATACTTATGTGCAGACCAGGTTCGTTGCGGTAGCCTACACTTTGAGACAGGTGCGTTTCGATTATCTGTGCCCAGTGGCGAGGGCAGTAACCGTGCCCGTACCTCTGGACGTGACTGTTGCTAGTGAACGCAACGCTGGAGGAGGTGACTTATTGTAAACGTTTTGCTTGGGCAGTCATTTTTGGGTGACGGTGCGTGATCGATTACTGGTGATCGACAGCTACTCCGGCTGAATTATTTCTGTTATATAAACTATTAAATATTAAAAAACGAACGAATTTTATCTATCTATATAAAGCAGATTATTCCCGATGCTGATATAAGCAGGTGATTTTGATCAGAATAATTAAAGCATGTATTCCATGCAAAGAATTCGAACAGGTAATCCCGACAGATAATTTCGCCAGTAAATTTGAGTTGAAAATTCAAAGCGTCAATGTTTTTTTCATTGAAAATTTCAACTAAAATTGATAGGAATATGAGAGTCAATGGATAGTTCCTATTGAATGTTAACAGCGTTACCACTGACAATGGCTACACTTGCGCAGGTACATGTCATCTTAGACGTCATATTTAAGTAGGAGCCTTAAACACTGATAAGAGCACAGAGAAATTGTTTACAATTGGTAAATTGAACCAAAAAGCCTTTCCGAATATATATTTCACGCTTTAAATTACGAATGGCAGATATAGGATACGTACAGAATAATTTTGTCCATCAAAGTCGAGCATCGCTTGGTTTCTACCACCACGCCCAGGGAGGAAAAAAGCTGTAGGTCGGTTGAGCCTCACATATACGCCAGCGTCAAGCCTCAGCTGGCACAGAATTTTTGGCCTGACGAGAAGAATAAGAAAGGGTATCATTGCTCGACTGAACAACCGAAGGTCGGATTGCAGTGAACTCTTCCTTCACAAAGCACGGGGAAAAGTGCAGCTAAAACTCTGCGCCTGACGCTAAGAGTCGTTTGTCATTTGCCAGCGAGGCTCTCGACAGTCGCGGCGATTTTATCTTGCTTGCCTTCCCTAAAAATGTGCATCCAATTGCGAGGCCCTGTGGTGAAGCGGCATATTTCTGATGAATTGTGAACAAGACACGCTGATAAAAACGCCTTTCTTGCTGAAGAATCTCACTGGCCGATCCTATTTCAACGGTGAACAACTCGTTTGTTGGGACGAATTATTGAAATTCCTATGTGAAATTTCCTTCTAAATTGGAACGCATGTTATTTACTTAGTACAATGACGAGCTTAGCAAAGAACAATAGTTATTTAAACACAACTGCAGTTATAGCATCAATGTCGATAGTTTGACAGTTTAGTAGCACTTGAGAGTTTTTTAAATCGCTCAATTTGAAACACGTTTGATAAATTAATAAAATGCAATCGTTATTGCATGTCAGTGAGTGCAAATCATTGTTATTGCATACAACATCGGAGACGCACTACCTTGTTCTGATTGTGATGCAAATTTAATTTTATCTCGATAACCTATTTCTCAATAGCGTTCAAAAGTTTCAAGTGCTTTTAAAATCTGGGCAATTCGGGAAAGTTGTGAACTCGGGTCTCATAATTTGAAATTCTCTAAAATAATCCAGTTTATTTTTCCCAAAAAAGTTCTTTAAGATTTCCGCGATTCCGCTTGTCTACATTGAATTGCCACAATTATATGTACATATTATGTTTATGTAGATGTAAATTTTTTAAATTGGCTGCTGATTCTCATTGGCCAATATATTTCGTTGCTTGTCTCACAACCAAATAGCAACAAAAAATTGAATTTTTCATGCACCCGGCGAATTTCATGCACCCGGCGCATGCACCCGGCGAATTTCAAACCATGAAAATGAGAAATAAATCACTTGGAAAAGAGCATATATGGATAATAGTTTGGATGTGATCAATAATTTGCAAATATTTTCATTTACAAAAAAGACACTTACTATCACCATTTTGTGTGTGTAATCAAGCATGAAATCATGTAAAAAATAAAACTAAATTAGACCAAATGTTATATCAAAGTCATTTTCTGATTATTAAACGAATTAGCATAGACATTATCAATAAATTCCTTTAATGTCACTCTCACGACATGGAAGTAGCAAGTACTAGAGCATGTTATCAATAATGTCAATACGCCCCTGCAATATCAAGATCAGGACTCTGAGGTAGCAAGCATTACCTCGTGCTATACATTATGCCAAATGCAATGAAATATTAACCAAACAACTTCTCTGATCATTAATCAAATTTGCATGAATATTATCAATAAGCCCCTGCAATGTCTCTATCAGGACACGGAGGTGGTGAGTGACCGCGCCAGAGGTGTCCTAGTGACGAAGGACTCGTTGGTGCAGCAGCTCAGAGGTGTCCTAGTGACGAAGGACTCGTTGGTGCTGCAGCGCGTCACCGCCGCGGCGTCCGGCGAATATTCCTGTCGAGCGGACAACTCCCGCGGCGCCGACCACAGCAACCGACATGCTCTACACGTCAAGTGTGAGTCACGGGAGAAAGTGTGCATTAGGAAAATATTATTCGCTAAATGTGGGAGCATCGATTTTCCCCTGTAGTGGTATGAACTTGACGTGTAGACGCGCTCTACACGTCAAGTGTGTGTCACGGGAGAAAGTGTGCATTAGGAAAATATTATTTGTTAAATGTGGGAACTTAATGAAATCTAACTCTGTGTTTTAATAAGAGCCATGACCATAAACCTGTGGCGGGGTTCCGCAAGGTCGAGTGATAATACATTTTTTAGCGCATTTTCTTATTTACGGAAAAAAATGCGCTATTGTGCTCGTCATGTCCGTTCGAATTTAAACCGATTTGATTGATATCAAAAGTTTTTACTCATTATTTGTTAACTTTATCACATCAGATAAATAAAAATATGTTAATACCTACTAATTCTCAATTTGCTACAAATTTAACAGGCGCTAAATTTCTCCGTAACTTTCGTTAAATTAAAAAAAAAACTCTCCTCCGACTTTAATATTACTGCTCGTCTTTACCTTAGTTACCCCGCGCTGCCGGTGGCACGAGATGAGGTTACATGTGAGCAGCGGGAACAACATAAGCGTAGAATTTTGTCGAAACTTTCCTCAAATGCAAACAAATTTCAAGAAAAAAGTTCTCCATCTAAAATATTGCAATTCTCTCATTTTTACTTCAGTTGTCCCACGCTGTCGGTGGGAGCAGCTATGATATTGCAATTCCCCATCTTTACTTCAGTTGCCCCACGCTGTCGGTGGGAGCAGCTAAGATATTGCAATTCTCCCATCTTTACTTCAGTTGCCCCACGCTGTCGGTGGGAGCAGCTAAGATATTGCGCATCTCCCATCTTTACTTCAGTTGCCCCACGCTGCCGGTGGGAGCAGCTAAGATATTGCGCATCTCCCATCTTTACTTCAGTTGCCCCTCGCTGTCGGTGGGAGCAGCTAAGATATTGCAATTCTCCCATCTTTACTTCAGTTGCCCCTCGCTGTCGGTGGGAGCAGCTAAAATATTGCAATTCTCCCATCTTTACTTCAGTTGCCCCTCGCTGTCGGTGGGAGCAGAAGCGGCTGCTGGTGAGCAGTGGGGCGAATGTAAGCGTCGAGTGCGCAGTGGACGCTCACCCGCCCCCTACGCGCTTCTCCTGGAGCCTCAACACAAGTCAGGGCGTGACGATCCTCAAGCCTGACGCCGCGGTACGATGCAAAATGTAGAATGTTCAACTGTGGTTAAATCATGTTCATTTTGTATTTGTTTATTTACTTTGTCAGAGATTTATTCATATTCATTTAATGCTTTGTGCTCAATTTGCTAATGATTTATTTATGTTTCTTTCATGTTCGTTTATATAGTTTGTCAGAGTTTTATTCATGTTCCTTTCATGTTGGTGTGCTTAATTTGCTAATGATTTATTCATGTTCGTTTCATTTTTGTTAGCTCAGTTTGTCAGTGATTTAGTCATGTGATTTTCAAGCTTTTTTATTTATACAGGTTTTCACTGTTGTTTTAAGTTTTATGAGAAACATAGTCGAAGTGCTCGTATGAATCGTGCAAGTGTTCTAAGAGTTATATGAGAATTTATTTTAAATATTAATAGGAGCAAGAAACGGTTGGAACTTGCTTCGTGCGAGACTAAAAAGTACTCGTCTAAAAAAACATTAGGCTAAATTTACTGATATGGGAACCCCGAAGTATTTGATAATGAAAACAAATTATAAAAGTTGAGAAAGCTGGATGTGTGGATGTGAAAAATGAGGGTAAGCCATCGGTTATTGTGATAAACATTTCAGAAATTCATTTCTGTAACTGGCACTGAATTTTCGTTCGAAAGCAACGCCAGCAGTTTACCCGGAAGTAAACGCAGCCTGCGCTCAATTTTACCGCAAAAAAATACAGCTGCAGAATTTAATTCAGCTTCCTTACGTTTGTGCTCGTAATTTGCCTCCCAATTGTTTAGCCAACAAGACCTGATTCTCAGCAACACAGAAATGTTGGCATCTCTAGGCAGCATTCGGGTCGAGCAAAGGCAATCAATATTGATAAGCTTCCTATACGCTGCCAAGTCATGAGACAATAAAAGTCACAGATTTGTTGCCTCAGTCCATCGACTGGAATAAACGTTCATGAAAAATTCACTGTGATTCCTGAGCCTGGATCCAAGTAAGATAGCTAAACCACGTAGCCCTTGCCGGAAAAAATCAATTGAGGCGAAGATTTGCTTCGGCTCTTAATAGAAAGCGTGATTTCATGAGTTAAAAATTGCTCAGTGTCATCGATTATAATGTAGGTAATTTTTGCCGATTTATCAATGCCGTTACATGCATTTCTTTAAAAAATCATCCGATATCATAAAATGATATGAATTAAGTACTTATATTGTCAGTCTGCTTATATCGCAAGTTCATAAGAAATTTAAAAGCAAAGAAAACGCCGAGCAAATTCACCAAATCGATATTGAAAACGTTTTGGAATCCGTTTTCCTATCCTCTTGAAACAGGGAATCGCTAGACTTTTATTTTCTAGTGTTTTTTTCTTAATTAAGTTTTAACTTTTTCGTGTCCCCTATGACTGTGCTCCGCGAGTACTGGTTTTCGATTTAAGGTTGTTTTGTGTTTTAGGTCTTTTTAGGTTTTAATGTCTGAATTAGAATTTTGATTTATAAAATGATTGTATTAATTTTCATATTATCGTACTGATGATGGAGCTGGACTCCGAAATGTTTTCAACATTGATTTGGTGAATTTGCTTGTCGTTTTCTTTGCTTTTAAATATGAATTAAGTCTTTTATGATTTTTCTGTTCATTTACGTAAATTTTGGACTGCTTTCGATCAATTTCCATTTCAAATTTATATTTTTTCACTAATACCAACTTTGAATAAAATTTGAATAAAATTCTTCCATGTTTTGCAGACAGTTTTGGTCCTGTTACGGCGTTGGTAAAGTAAGCAAAGAAGAAGAACAAGCAATTGAGGTTAAATATTTTAAGGCCTCCACATGTTGCTGAGCGCAACTGTCAAGAAGATTGCTTTTATATAGACGCCCATTATTACCAGCAGCTTAAACCAAAACAAAGTAAATTATTCACACGCAACGAACCGATCCTGCTTCACTTTGAGGATTGTTTACAATCGATGCCTGAATATAAATATCTAATACTAATAATATCATTAATCATGCCATCATTACATTATTCAATCAATAATACTCACCGTGCAGTTGAAAGAGCAATACCTCAATACAAATTCGAATAAAAGTTTGAGCCGTTCCTGCCTAAGCCTCCATATGTAATTGTCCTGAATAATTACAGTCCTGAATAATTACCTGCTAAAAAATTTTGACGCTTGGAAACGGAAGACCCGATATTATACTCACGATGACCTGTGAACCTTCAGTCCTTTAGGTACTTGAAAAACCAATATCCGTCTGCACATAGAAGCAATGAAAGAGTTCTCAAACGTATAATTTGGAGCAATATTACATGCACAATCAACAATCAATCGCATCACAATCATCTGGTATAATATGACCAGTCAGAAACAATTCAGAAATGATTGTAATCAGAACAATACCTAAAACTCATTCTAAGACACTGGCCTGAAGATACTGAATGATGCTCGTATATATAGAGCCGCGCATACTCTTAAGGGCATCGTTTATTAAGGAATTTTTCGGACTTCGAGGTCCTCAGACAATAGGTATTTTCAGCAGATAACTGAAAAATTGCATTGAAAAGATGTTTAAACTCAACCCGGCTTACTTATTAATGAAACATGCCGAACTGAAAGATCTTGCCTGCTGAATGCATTAGGCAATTCTTGATCGCCTCCAGCTTAGCCGGTAACAATCCTGCTCGGGATCTGCTGCTATTCGGCCATCAAGTCTGATCCTGCTGCAACTCTGCTCTGTTGTTTAATTGGCGCTGAGCCTTCCACCAAATTTTAATTTTGATAAATAGAATATTTTTGCGGAGTTTCTAGCTTATACCTTTCGATTGGAATAACATTGTTGCTAACTATATTTTATATCATTAATAATATTGTTGGAAATATTAATAGTTGGCTAGCGATGCCACCATTCTTTTACTATAATCAATATATTTAATTAATAATTATATGCAATTTAATTTGATACCATTCTTATCACACTATCCTACCTGACTTAATGATAACTCTCTTCTTAATTACTGCTAATCAATTGCGCATTCACAGTGCAGAACTTAATACAACCTCAATTCGAAATTCGTAGGAGAATTTAATTTTCTAATTTAATTGCTCTCTTATTTAACTCGTTGTTTTGCCCCTCATTCCGATTTGTTTGAGATATGTCTGAACTTGGTCTGAGATTCGTCCGAGAATTATTTGAGATTTTTCCCGAAATTTGTCCAAACAAAAGCCAACTCGGACTGCAGCCAGATTGAAACCAAAAGGAAGCCCGAGTGATGCCGGAGTACAGCAAAATGCAGTAGTAGTAACAGTAGTAGTAGATGTTGGCGGTATTCTAGCGCTTCGTGAAGAACTTGATTTATCCATTAAAAGCAAAACGGAAGCCAAATAGGGGTTAATAAATCAAATTTTACGATGGAATGACGAATTTTTCTGAAATTAGCTTCAAACTAAAAAAAATTCTGCAAATTCGCACTAGATAATTAGAAAATTTATTATAAATGCTTTGACCCAACGTTCGTTTTCCCACGTCATATGACTTCACAAACTTTTAAAAATATATTATCTTCGCCAACTTTTTCTATCATTTTAAATATTTAAATCATGTTTTATAACGTTTAATGTTCTCATAACATCACGAAACAACGGGATACTGGACATACTGCATAGTATCTTTACTATATATGGCATATAATATAAGACAGATAATGTAATTTTGGAAAATATGAATGAGTAACATATAATACTCATAAAATTAAACAGAAATCATGAATTGATGACATGAACTGTAAAAATCCACATCGATCGTTATAATCATAAGTTTCATTTAATATTATTTCTTCGGCTTGCAACGATTGCTCTTTTATGAGGCTCGCCAACTGAACATTTTATTGAAGTCTTCCATCAAGCAAGGCTCATAATTTAAGATTATCACATTTTCGAGCTTTTAAACAAGCGTCTCGAAGGATTACCTGGCAAGCATACGCCCACTTCATCGAGGATACTCTTTGACCTTCTTTTTTCAGATGAGAATTTGCCGTAAAAGCCAATAGACGAATCCAGCGCTCTCCTCGAATACTGTACGAAATTTTTTCCTGACGGATTGTTGAACTGAAAGGTTAAACTACAGTAACTCGACGTCATTATCTACTCAATGCGGAGATAATTGACAAACTACAATATATAATTGTGCCAGTTATGTTTGCCTGTGCTTTTTCTTAACTACCAGGGCACCCTACCGATTTCGACTATCACAACCAGTTTAATCTATCACAACCAGTTGTGGTCTTGAACCCCCAACTCATTGCTTCTTTCTTAGTGACCAAAAGCACTAAGAAACCTCTAGTGTAGGTCAGTGGTGAACCACGTACAAATGACAGAAGTGCAAATATTAATATTGATGAAATATTAAAAGAATATTAATGCCACACTTCTACATCAAACGTATTAGCAGTAAATAAGTATGTGTCACGCATACAATTAACATCAAGTGGATGTGTCTCTCAGGTTCGTACGTCAGGCGGCGTGTCTACCATCACGCGTACGACACCTTCAGACCTACTGCAAGAAGAGCTGTTGTGTTGGGCGTCCAACGAAATAGGCACGACCAGCAAGCCTTGTGTCACGCAACTTGTTGCTGCTGGTGAGGGATAAGGGGTTTTTCTAATACATTTATGGCATTTGACCGTTAGGGTCACAAATTTACAGAATTTCGATGCCTGAATTTTTCACGAGCAACAAGTTAAAAAACTATAACGGTACCTCACATTTTAATCTGATTATACAGGTGGTTTCTGTTTCCGTTTTTATTGAAAAAGTCTCAATATTCTAAACAAATTCTAAGTTTTTTTTAAGAACTATTGATCCTTCTATGCGTTTGATTCTGATTTTTTAAACGATGTTTGCTGCAAGTTTACACGCTTTTTCTCACTCTATATTTGCAACACATTTATTTTACCATTTCCCCAGCATCATTATTTTTAAACACTTTCCAAGTGAGTTCGCTCAAGTGTTTTAGATAAAATTGTTTCACCCTATTCGTTGTGAGCGTTCATACGTTATTAATAACTTTTTATTCTCCTCGGCATCGTTCGATGTGCCTTGTCAACCGATTATTTATGCAAAACCTATGCTGAGGCATGAGCATGTATTGATGTTTATTAATGCGGATTTAGCTTGCATGCATTTCTCGATTGCTCAGCTTATTTTCAATCTCTGGCGTTAAAAATTAGTTGGTGAATTTTTATTACGTATATTTAATATTATCACTCTACGTATGTTTTATGAATGCAATAAATATGTTATAACAAATTATGTGTTCATCTTTCGTTGTATGACTTCCAAAAATACCAAATCACGAACAAATTTAACAATATCGCCAATGTTCCAAACTATGATAAGAAAGAATTCTTGTTACGAGTGTGGGTAATGATTTTAGATACAAATGTCGCAACCTGGATTTAGTTAATTTCGTGGAATAAATAGCTGGAAATAATCATGGGCGTATTAGGTATTGAAATTCTATATTTAAACCCAATAGTTTATTTGATTAATCTTATTGGTCGATTCGATTATGGCACAACAAGCTCTATGTCTCATTTGAACTGGGCACCTGTTATGAATTCGAGGTATCGACGTTGCAAAATGATTTTTGCGGACGACACAAGAGTGATGATTTAAAAAATGATTTTTTTTACATATTTGAAATCTTCATTTAAAACACAGGTTTAGCTAAAACTAGCTTGGCATTGTAAGTGCTTGACATTCTGAGACAAACATTCCCCACAACTCATTTGTAACTGAGCACGAACAAAGCAGCTCAGCAGATGCTTTCAATTTAAATACATGGCAGCCTGGAGCTCTGGATGCGTCGAGCGTGAGATGGCATTCGCGTTCCATGAAATGCTTCGATAATGCGCTGCTGCGTGAGATGGCATTCGCGTTCCATGAAATACTTCGATAATGCGCTGCTGCTGTCTCTTATACACATCTAGATGTGTATAAGAGACAGGTGCAGCAGCACGATTATAAGAATATTATCAATAAGCCCCTGCAATGTCTCCATCAGGACACGGAGGTGGTGAGTGACCGCGCCAGAGGTGTCCTAGTGACGAAGGACTCGTTGGTGCAGCAGCGCGATTATAAGAATATTATCAATAAGCCCTGCAATGTCTCCATCAGGACACGGAGGTGGTGAGTGACCGCGCCAGAGGTGTCCTAGTGACGAAGGACTCGTTGGTGCTGCAGCGCGATTATAAGAATATTATCAATAAGCCCTGCAATGTCTCCATCAGGACACGGAGGTGGTGAGTGACCGCGCCAGAGGTGTCCTAGTGACGAAGGACTCGTTGGTGCAGCAGC